AATATTTACAAATGAAACGAGATTTTTTTATTTGTAATATTTTCCATCTCTAGCTGATCCATATTTTTTTATGTCGATTTTTACAATTATATATAACGTAAAAACTCATTACTATTTTAATATATTTTAACTTCAAACTTTCATTTACACTATTCAAATGGAGCACAAAACATAAATAAACCGAATGTTACCGAGTCTACTCGAAATAAACCGATGTCAGACGAGTGCCCTGGAGTGTCTCTCGCCCCGTATCAGAACTCCCCTTGTCTAAAGTGGCAGCTTATGCTCGGTCTATATATTTCATATGTCTATGGATGTAACTGCGTTGTAATCGTACTGTTTACACAATGCCGATTTCTCACGGTATTTCGAAGAAAAGCATCGTGTAAATTAACCTCGTCGCCAATTGCGAATGATGATCGAAGTTCGACTAAACTTCGATTAATTCAATCGACGATTAATTTGTCAAGTAACATCTGTTACTGTGGATATATAAATTTTTTATTACCCAATATATGGAGAAAAAGATTAAATTAAATGATAAAGTGTGCAATTAGAAATTTTATTGTAAATAATCACAATCACATGATTAACTTAATTAGTAATTAGTATTAATTAATACTCGTCTCGTTAATATAAATACACCTTTGATTGTTTAACACCTGAGAAAAAATTTAGAGTAATTGAAGATTTCAAAGTTGTAGTATGTATATGTATATTTCTTCAAATGTAAATTGACTTAATACCAGCTTAATTTATTTTTATCTTTTTTTAGTTTTAAGACTTAAGAAAGAAATATAAATATTAGATTAAACACCGAGATAAACATTGATAAAAATTGGCATTAGAACTCATACAATAAACTTTATTCGAGAGACATTCTGGAAATATCTTTAGAACATCCTTTTATTCATAGGATAAAAGGATATTTTTTGAACATCATTTACAAGTCTACATGATAAATGCTGTGGAAAATATTGTTTTAATCTATTTTTACTGATGTAAATTAACTTTAATTTCGGTTTAATTTATTCTTTATCTATTCTTTTAATTCTTAAAAAAATAAGATAAAAAATAAGTTCAGTAAGATTAAAGATAATCTACATTGATAGAAATGAATAAATCCTATCGATTGAATCAATTGTAAATTAAATTAATCGGAATTTCATGAAAGTTGTTCTTAATGATTTCTCGAAGAATTGGTGGATATCATAATTCTCGGAATTGGATGATGCTACCCTTTATGGATCGATGTAGGAATATACAGGAATATGATAACAAATTTCGAAGGGAATAAACAAATAAATTTTTTATTGAGTAAATTAAATTAGTTAAATATTTAAATTAGTTAAATAAAAATTTAAATTAGTTAAATATTTTATATAACTTTTTTTATATGAATATTTAATTAGGAGATTCTAATTAGGTTTCAAGTAAACGGTTATCTTTTGTTGAATTGTATTAATGTTATCTTTAATTAATATTATCTTCGTTTATAAATGTGAATGTCTGAATGTCATGTACGCATATGTCATATACGCTGAATAAATTTACTATGTTCAATAGCGTACTCTCAAAACAAGAAACAAATTCAGAAACAAAAAAAAAAAGACGAAGCAATTTTTATGAGTAAATGTCCAAGAGAAAAATGATTGAAACGGAAGTTTTTGTTTATAAATATAATATAATAAAGTATATAAAGTAGTTTATAAAGTATATAAAGTATATAAAGTATATAAAGTAGTAATAAAGTAGTTTTTAAAAAGATAATAAAGTAATAAAGTAGTTTTAAAAGAAGACTTGTTATTAAAAGAAGACATTTTATCTGCAATAATAATTAACGATGAAAGCCATAATAATAATTATTGCAACTCACTGTTGTTATAAACTTCCAGATTATTTTCTTAAAAAGATATTACGGAATTATCGACATTCTCACTCATTCTATATTCTTCCTCATATCTTCCCACAATTTCTCTTCCTATTTCTATCTAAGTAATAAAGTCTAAGAATGTAATTTATTATTTGAAAAGAGAAAGAGAAGATGCAAGAAAGAGCAGGTTATTTAAATGAAGTGCAGTGTTATGATTTGCGAATGTAATGACATGAGAATAGGATTGTCATCCGTCCTCTTTTTTTCCGGACACTGTCCTCATTTTTAGGACGTCCGGTGACGTCCGGCGGGATTTTTTGAAAACGTCCGAGGTTTCAGAAAATCTAAATATTTTGTTTTGATTCCTCTCGCATTACTGCATTAAAAGCAAAAAACAAATAGCATTGGTATCATATAAAAGAGTTAAAATTTTTTAATTTTAATATCTAATAAAACTTAAACTAAACCTATAATAAAACTTTTTATTTTAAATCAAAATAGTCTGTATTTATTTATTTTCCAATTCAAATTTTTCTTTGCTCTAAATGCTAATGAACAATTAGATATGAAATAATAATTCATTTACTATTCTAATCAATTTTATTAATTTAAGCGCATTTTTGTATATATCCGGAGTTGCAACCGAATGTCCGGGTTTTTAGCTTGTCCTAGTTTTGAAAATTTTAATATGGGAATCTTACATGAGAATCATACAATTAACGTTTATTCCTCAATTTGAGTAGCAGATTACTAACATGGACGATTATTTTTTGTAGTAGAATTACGTAAAACAGTTTTCGCGACAGAACATAGACTCAATCGTTGAACTACTTACAGAATTCTTTAAAAAAGAAATTCGCGTGTTATCGCAATGACATAACGAGAGTGATAGCGATAGTGATTGATGGTGATATAAAACAATATGGAGAGACGTTGGCACAGGAATCGACACGTGATAGATAATCGATAAATTATATGTCGAAAGATATAAATTATATATATTATCAGTAAAATCCGAAGGTCTACATTAACTAGAAAAAATTAACCTTGCATGATTAATATTTCTCTTTACTTTCCGTAAAAAAAGAAATAAATACTAGAGTATTAAACAAATAAATACGACAGATAATCCAAAGATAATAACGTGTTGTCAAATAAGAAACAAGTCCAGAAAAGAAAAGAAAAGAAAAAAAAACGAAACAATTTTGAGTAAGTTTTGAGAGAGAAATAATTGAAATGGAAGTTTTTGTTTAATAAGATATAAAATAATTTAAATAATTTTAAAGGAAGATCTATAGACGATACAGTAAAGAAAGTAAGTGAAGAAACAGGCAAAAAGAGGAGACAGGAAGAGAGAAGGGAAGGAGAAAAAGAGGAGAGAGGAAGGGCTGGAAGAGAAAGGGAGAGAGTCAATGCGCGATCAGCTGATTGCCACTGCGTTTTTATAATTCTGTTATGGCGAGTAAGGCTTTCTCGACCAAAAACAACAGTCTCAGGTATTTACCTATTTAAGCACAGAAGAATAAATGACGTATTGCACAAAAGACAGAGGGAGATGAAAATAACGGATTGATGAACGTTTTCTTATAATTCGGAAGAGTGCGTTTCGCGCTTCATACAGGAACGACACAACACGTGACGAGTGATCTAACTAAAACGAGATGTTTAATAAAAACCATCACGTCATTTAGTGGACTGAAATGGACCGAGTATCTTATCAAGCAAGATCACCTTCGGGAATTACGCAGAACTCAAATTACTTCATGCACGGCAGCCTTTATAGTAATCGCCAAGGTGGTGTGCGCTCGACAGAATTGAATTCGCTATGCGAGCGATCGTGGACGCCACGTTTCCGCGTCTCGTTCGTTGTAATTATCGCGTGGTATAATTTATACAGCGCGCTACGGTGTTGTAGATATGTAATCGTCATTTACGTGCGTCACTCGTCGCAGCCGATTCGCGCTTCGCGGTCAGACAGCGCGAGTGGAGCGGAAGGGAGCGTCCGGGTCGACGACGGGTCATCGCGGTGGTGTGCGCGCGCGAGGGACTTGCGCCACTCCCGACGCTCTCGCGAAAATCTGATGAGTAAGTGTCACGCCGGCCTGGCGTGAAACGTCACGCCACCGTCACTCCTCGTCGTATGTTTCTATCGCTGACGCGTGACTTCTCGGATCGACGCGACGTTCGACGTCGCCGTCGAGGAGGACGGCGACAGCGACGGCGACAACGACAAGCGATTGGCTGGATGATAGTGGATAGGATATCGTGTGCAAGGTTCCGTTGAGGTAGCTCATCGCGACGAGAACGTCAGTGTTCCTGCAAGACGCTGCTGGTGACAGGTCGGCGAATGTTAGGAATTTGCGTTAACGCAAACTGCGAAATAGGAATGTCACGATAGAATCGGGAGATCGATCGCTTAGATAATTACTAATTTATCGTCCGCGTTTCTTATGTAACACGATAACCGCGCGTTTCTGTTGTTTGAATGTGGCGAGTTTATGGATGTTTGTTGAAACGGATACTTCCACGCATGTAATTAAAATATGAAATAAATAAACGCTCGGTGCAATGCTGTATTTGTTATCTTGACATTGCGATTTTATTTTAGCAATAACTATATAATGGTTGTATAATAAAAAGGTACTATTTATTAAAGTACTTAAGATTTTACGTCATGAATCCATTCTCATATTATATTTTATTCCAATAGACAGATTATATAATAGTAAAAAATGAAATTTAAAATTATAATTATATATAATTCTATCTTTCGGTAAATGTACATATGTACATTATATTAAAGCATTTCATTAAAGCGATTGAAAAAAATACATAAGAAATGTACCGTATATCATGAATTATTTGACATGTTTTATGTAAATATATGTACATATGTATGTGTGTATGCGCGTTACATATTGTGTGCACAAAATGAAAAGAATGATCTTTGACTCTTGACTTGAAAATATTCTTTTACATATGAATATGTTAAGGTTTCATAAGCTCTGCTGTTGTATAATTTTGAAAAAAGTTGACTATGAAATGACTATGAAAACTGATGACTTAACTATGATGACTTAAGAAAAAAATCATATAAAAGTCATATTTACATGTTATTTCAAATATGACGTATAATAAAGGCGTTATAAAGGCAGATATAAGATATAGATATAGATATAAATGTATAAGATATAGAGAATATATGTAGATAATTTTTTTTCAGCAAATACATTATTTATTATAGCAGACGGGATCTATAGTGGAATATTTAACTTTGAGCAATGAGTCCACAAAGCCATAAGAATAATTTAACTCCAAAAGGTATAGAGTCGAATGGATATTCTGCTGGCAAGACTATGACCAAAGAAACAAGAAATCATTCATCTCCTTGTGAGTCAGTGGATTGTATGTGTGCTTAGATTGCCAATATTTTACTTTTTATTACATACTGTGTTGATTATCACAAGCAAATGTGTTTAGTAGTAATCTTGTATCGTGATTACTGTAATCTTTTTAATTTTTAATGTTAAAGTAAGATAGTCAATTACATAAATTAATTTAAGCAATGATTTCTAGATTAATATAAACTGTAAGATATCTATGCAGTATAATATAGTGTGTATAACTACTAACAGCTGTAGTATTTCCTTCGTATAGTGTTTCCTTTTTCAGTATCTAATCATTTGTAAATATAATTGTCGATTAGAATTTTTCTATATATAAATTTTTTAAGCTAAAGGTTAATTACTAAATGTTATTAGTTAATTATTAATATCCAGCTTTTTCGAATAGGATATGAAGAAAAATCAAAGGTAAAATCGGATTAATTATATGATTATATGAACTGGAAATATTATATCCATACTGTGTTGGACAATAGGAATACTACTGTATTCCTATGAATATTGAATGTGTATATATACTGGAAATATACCACGTCTATATCGTATTTAATATTCTAAATAGTTATCTGTAATAATTATTTTATCACATAGATGTCTGCACTTGCCAGCTTGTATTGATCTGGCCGTAAATATTATCGCTTAGATCTTTTATGAAAAGTATAAAATTGTATTTTTAATTTAATTTTGTTGAACTGAATCATATTTGTAATGAAGTAGACATATGCTTGCGATAATAATCTTTAGTTCATTGGATTGTTATTTAGGAAAAACATTTGTTTACAATATAATTAAATAAATTCCCTCTGTTATTACGTACATATTTATATTTTGTTACAACTATTTCTCTGCATGATGAGCCTATTAATGTTTTTCAAAGTTTGATTTGGCATGTAATCTATACAAAATTGTGTTTTTCTAATTATGTGATTATTGCATTTTTAACATTATAAAAATGTATTTTTAATATGATCATAATTCTGTACAAATTGTAGAATAAAGCATTAATCATATATTGTTATTACAGCAATGCCTTGGTTTGGAATGGACATAGGCGGCACATTATGCAAGTTAGTATACTTTGAGCCAAAGGATATAACGAGAGATGAGGCAGATACGGAAGTTGAAACGTTAAAAAATATTCGTCGATATTTGACAAAGAATTCGGCATATGGAAAAACTGGTCATCGTGATACGCATTTACAAGTGAGCACTATGAAATATTCAACTTGTATTTTCTGCAATTTATTACTCGTATAAAATTTGTTGACAACTATTTTAACAATTGTTTCAGATGGATGACGTTTGTATTAGAGGCAGACGAGGAACATTACATTTCATTAGATTTCCCACAAGTGAAATGGGAAATTTTTTAGCACTAGCAAAGTCAAAAGGTATGGCAAATCTTGTGACTACTGTTTGTGCTACTGGTGGTGGCGCTTTTAAATTCGAAGATAATTTCAAAAAGGTTTGAAAAATTGGTTTTTACCTTATAATTTTAATATGAATTATAAAAACACAATAAAACATAATAAAATATCTCTGGCAGGAGGTAAACATGAATTTAGCAAAGTTCGATGAATTAGATAGTTTAATACGTGGAATGCTCTATATAGAGACTACAAATCCGCACGAATGTTATTATTGGTCGAATCCCACCGATGATAGCAAATGCCAGAAAGTACCTTATGATTTTTCTGAACCATATCCTTTCTTGGTAAGAATATATGGATAGATCTTGTACATTTTTTTCTCATTGGACAATTAATTGATCGATTATATTTTGCAGCTCGTTAATATAGGCTCTGGAGTAAGTATATTAGCTGTATATGGACCAGAAAATTATAAAAGGATATCTGGGACGAGGTAAATGGCGTGTTATATTTTGTAGCAACAAAATATATATATTATCAACAAGATTATATATATTATCAAATAATACCAATATGTCATTTAATTATCTTATATAGTTTAGGCGGTGGAACGTTTTTGGGATTATGTTGCCTACTTACTGGATGTAATACTTTTGAAGAGGCGATAGAATTAGCAACGGGTGGCGATAACACAAGAGTGGATAAATTAGTTAAAGATATATACGGTGGCGATTACGGTCCTTTCGGTCTTCCTGGAGATTTAGTCGCTAGCAGGTACAACTATAAAGTATAATTAACAAAGCATTATTAATTCTTCTAAGGAATCTTTTTTTTTAATTTTTATTTATATCCCATGTTTATTATTTTTAGTTTTGGACAAATGAATTCCAAAGATCGCAGAAATACTGTCACGAAGGAAGACTTGGCGCGTGCAACTCTTGTTACTATCACAAATAATATTGGTTCTATCGCGCGTATGTGCGCTGTTAATGAAAAAATTGAAAGAGTAATAATATATACAATCTATATTAGATACAAATTTCTTAAACTGAAAATTTATAACAATTTTTGCTTTTAGGTTGTATTTGTCGGTAATTTTCTCAGAGTAAATCCTATATCAATGAAATTATTGGCCTATGCTATGGATTATTGGTCTAAAGGAACTTTGAAGGCCCTGTTTTTGGAACATGAAGTAAAGCTCTCTCTCTCTCTCTCTCT